TGTCGGCTTCATCATCTGCTCATCAGCTTCACTGACAGCTGAAGGAAAGCTCAGGTCCCGCTGCCCCGGATCAGCTCCTGTCGCCCCCTTTGGCCGGACTGCCTGCAGTGAGACGGTTCTTGTCGTCTTCTGCCGGTCTCTGACGTCGCTCTGGGGACAGGGCAGCCCACTCGTCAGTGCAGAGCTCTTACAGCTGTGAGATGTTTGAGGGGTTTCTTCCATCGACAGCTCATTTCCCAAGGCAGCACACAGCAGCTCAATAGGGTTAAGGTCTGGGCTTTGGCTTGGCCAAATACTGAATACTCAGCTCACAGCTACACAGGCTGTGCTCATTTACACACCACTGGACATGATTACAGGCGCAAACACACACACACACACACACACACACACACACAAACGCGCACACACACACACACACACACACACACACACACACACACACACACACACACACACACACACACACACACACCTAAATGCATGGATTCAAGCACATACACATGCAAACACACAGACATATACACACAAACATACCCCCATACATGCATTTATACACACACACACACACACACACACACACACACACACACACACACACACACTGTACATGTATGAATGCCCACACATGCAAAAACATAAACGTCCATGCACAGTCACTAACACAGGTGTGCACACACACATTCTCTCTCACACACACATACGCCGCACATGTGTATACACACACACACAGACACACAGAGGGATGCAGTAAGCGGAGCGCTACACACTCTCGGCGGCGGTGGCGGGCGCGCTGTTCTGCCAGTTGAGCACAGGGACGGGGATGGAGGTCTCGCTGACGCCATCAGGACAGCGCTGCGCAGCACAGCTCACACTCTCCAACAGGAGGTGAGGGTTACTCTGGACGGTTTCCACTGCCAGACACACACACACACACACACACACACACACCAGAGCCAGAGACAGAGAGACAGAAAATAAAGACAAGGAACAGACAGAAAACACACCCATGGACATCGCTCTTTTACAAGTGCTGCGCTAACACACACACACACACACACAGGATCACACACAGACCCCGTTTACACACACACACACACACACACACACACACACATATATATATATATGTAGAGTAAACGGGGCTGAAACAGGTGTGATCTGATACAGCTACAAATGCATGAGAGCAGATGGAGAATTACAGTAAACATCAGCTGTCAATCACTCGTCAATCACCTGTCAATCACCCATCAATCATTCATCAATCACCTGTCAATCACCGCACTGAGCATGTGCAGAGCTCTGACACTGTAGAATCAAACATCACAGAGCTCAAGCTCTTTCTCTGGAGTCTCTCCTCTGCCTATATGCATGTTACTGACCTTCTCCAGCAGTGTGTGTGTGTGTGTGTGTGTGTGTGTGTGTTACCCAGCAGTGCAGACTGGCCGTCCCCCAGAGGGAAGCGCTGGTATCGGGGAACGCTGAACGGAGGCATGAGGTGGAAGCGCTTCTCCAGCAGCGGCTCCAGGCGGGAGGCAGACGGGTCGGCCGGGTGGAAGAGATTATACACCTGCTGACACGCTGGACGCAGGTGACACACTGCACACACACACACACACACACACACACAGCTTTTTAATCCTCCTGTTGACGTCCAGGTCCAGCATGTGTCAGTGTGAGCAGCAGAATAGAGCACACAGTTCATCACCGGCTGTTTTTAAGCGCTGCACTGCTCGGATCAGGACTTGTGGAGCTGCACTGCGCTGGATTTGCTCTTCAGTGTTTCAGCACTGACACTACACCACACTGAACTGAACTGAACTGAACTCCAGCTCTGAACACTGCACTTTACCAGATGTTCAGCTGCTTTGACACAGATAACAGAGTCAATATAGAAATCAGCATGAATTATAGTTTCTATTAGCTCAAATATTTTCATTATTCATATTTCACATTTATTTCTGTTCTGATATTTATATATATATATTTATCTGTGGATCCTCCTGGTCTTGTTCACCTGTTTGCTGTTCGATGCAGTTATGTTGTAATAAACATATTGTAAAAATATCAAAACCTCCTATGATGAAGAAGCTGCTGACGGAGCTGATGGATGAGTCTTGACCATCTCGTGAAAAGCCTTAATAAATGCGCATACATTAAAATAAATCTAAACATGATCAGTTTTAGGATGCTGATGATTATTAAACCTTAAAGTCTTAAAGGGCCAGTTCACCGATCAATTACTAAACATTTACTCAATATGTACTCTGCTTCCAGTGCTTCTGAACTCTCCTCAGTTTACTTTACCTGTTGAATACGCAAGAAGATATTCAGAGGAATGTTGAAAACCTGGTAACTTCCATAGTAGGAAATGCAAATACAGTGGAAGTCAATGGTTACAGGTTTCCAGCATTCTTCAAAACATCTTCTTTAGTGTTCAACAGAAGAAAGACAGAGTTCTGGAGTGAGTAAAGTGTGGATGATTCACTGATGTTTGCTGAGCTGCGGCCTGTAGTGCTCCTGTGAACGGCTGCATGTTAGGACGGCACAATATTGGAAAATCTGCCATTGCCATGTTTAATTTTTCTGCCATATATTGCAATATGAACACACACACACACACACACACACACACACACACACACACACCAGATGACGGGAATATCTGTATCTGGAATAAAGTCATGCATTTAGATTGATTGGGATAATCTTGTAGCAGAGTGAATCAAACAAACCGCAAGCATGAGTAAGTTTTGCCACTGAAAATGACAGATATCAGGATATATCGCAAGACAAGCGTCCACAATATATCAGGATATCAGTAAATGAGGGGGAAATGCATCACACAGTTATGAGATGCCCTTGTTTTATGATATCTTGCAGAACTGCATCACTGATGTGTTCACGATCCTCCATTACGCTGATGATCAACTCTGTTGTAGCTTTAAATAAACATCAATACCTGTCTTCATCAGTAATGAATCTCCAGCAGAATTATCCTCATAAATCAGCATATCCATCTCAGCCCAATAATCAAATGCAATGTAAAACAGCAGCGTCCAGTCCTCATTACTGATCCGCTATAATGCAGCTCCACACTGCAGATCTATGGTGACACAATGGCGGTGTCCGTGCT